AATCTTACCACATGCAGTTTAAATAGTTTATGCACGTGGGTGGAACATTTTTAATAACGAGCTGGTTTTAGGTTGTGTTCTTGGAGGATGCTGAAACCTTTGCGCCTTTTGGGGGGAAGGGGATTAATGGGGATATCTCCTAGAAAGATTTTTTAATGAGGGTTATTATAAATAAAAGAAACTTGGGGAGGAAAGGGTTTATTTCACTAAAAGTTCTATATAACAGTTCATCATCAAAAGGAGTGAGGGCAGAAACTCACACAGGGCAGGAACCTGGAGGTAGGACTGATGGGGAAACCATGGAACAGTGCTGCTTATTGCCTTCCTCCCCAGAGTTTGCTCATCCTTCTTTCTTATAAAACCCAGGACCATCAGCCCAGGGATGGCACCACCCACAATGGGTTCCATTAGTTATTAATTAATAAAATGCCCTAAGGAGTTACTTACAACCAGTTCTTATGGAGGATTGTTTTCTCCTGAGGCTCTCTCTTCTCTGATCACCTGATTGTGTGTTGTGCTGATATAAAACTATCCAGCAATATGAAAGCAATGTAGAACTCCAATCTCTTTCTCTGATGAGCAGTACAAGCTCATCCACAGTTGTTCTTCTCTACTATCATGTGACACATCCGAGAGGACCCTCATCAACACTGAGATTCCAACTCTATGTCCTTAAACCTACAAAACTGTGATGCAAATAAATGTTTTCCCTTTCTGAAGTTAGCTGCTCTAAGTATTTCATTATAGCAACCTATAGCTGACTGATATATCACAGATAGTATGAAACCATTCTACTAGTTCTGTTATATGTTGTTAACAATAATACTTAGGCACTAACTATACGAAGGCATTTTATACACCGCTTCCTTTACTCAGCATTGCAATTCCCATGAAAATTGGTTATATCCTCATTATCAACAAGATGAGTATTCTCATCTGTAATCCAATTAAGAATATCTTTCAGAGGCATGCCTACCAACAACCTAATCTGTAAAATCCCTCATCGAACATCCCTTCACATGTGAATGCTGATTACATCATGTTAACAACTTGATTCCTATATTACCATAATTCATTGATGAGACAGGACCACATCCTCCGTGATTCTAGATTGATACCTGAGCCCACATACCAAACTACTACTTAGCTTACGTATGCCTCTGTAAACTACAAGAGAAGTTGAGACTCGGCAGGTTCTGCAATTGGTTCATTGTGTTTTGTTTTGACCAACTGCATAGCTTTAGAAAATGTAACTTATTCTCTCTGGTTATTCTATTGCTTAATTATCCTAACACAATGTTCTCAGTGACAAATATCCATTATTGATGAGAAATACTGACTAGCTCTTAGTCCTTTTTACTTGTGAAATTTTACTAACATGTTTCCACTCCCTTGCTTTGGCTCAACTGCTAATGAGGAAGTCTGGGTTTTATTAATTCCCTGACACCCACGATTCACTGCAAAATCCTCATGTAGGCACATTCTCCCTCCTCCGATGGATCCCAGAGGCTCTTTCCCTTCAGGGCCTATCAGTGACTCATTTCTAATGGTTATAAAATAAGCAGAAACCACTTCTCCTTTCTTCTTTAATACTGTTTCTTAGTAATGACTGATTGGGAAATTTAGTTTCCACTGCTGAGCTAAGTGGTTTATGCAGTATTCTTTACCCCCATCACTAGCTACCAGTGTTCTCTATTTTAGTGGGAATGGTATTAACTTAGATTTCTCAAACTGAAAGACTCAATCCTGAATTCTGTCCCTCTAAATGGTTAATCTAGGTGCCCTCAACGAATGTATTTTAAGAATCTGAGCAGAGAAATTTGAGTATAGAACATTACATTTAGGCTCCTATTTTAGATTATGTTTCGTCTTATAGTCACAGAGAAGTCTTATTATTAATAAGGCTATATAGAAAAGATACAGGATAAAAATTTTGAATGAAGATTTAAAATAACATCAGACCAAGCATCTTCATAGATTAGTCCAAAAGCAAACTTTTTACTTATAAGATACTGTCTTTCCACAATAAACAGAAAAAAGTGACTAAATATTAATAGCATTATGCTATTATACTGTCTTTATTCATTCATTCACAAAATACATACTAAGTATGCACTACACAGAGTACTACTATTCTAATTGCTGGAAACTTAATCAGGAACATTGTGAAAATACTTCTATCTTTCCTGGAATTTTGACTTGAGTATTTTTACCTACATTATATAATGGGAAATTTTGTTTAGTTTTGTGTTTTGTATTCAGTGAGATAATTAGAGATGGAAGTGAAACTTGAACCAAGCTCTGGGCCCTGGATGATCTTAAGAATAACTATGAAAAATCTGTTGGAAAAGATTGCTGGCAGAGAAAACAAGAAGGGCAAAATATCAATAGGGGAAGACAAATTAGCTTCTTTATAAAACAACGAAACATTAAATGTGAGCGAAATGGAAAGAGGGCATGAGTGGTGGTCTGGCATCAGAGGCAAGCAGAATAGTGCTGGTGTTTGTGTCTTGATGAGTATCTTGAGATTTTGACTAATACGATGGAATTGGAGTTTTTGGGTTTTTATCTATTTTCTTTTTTTATTTTTAAATTTCAATTAGAAACAAGGTTGCTTCCCATGTCAATCCCAGCTCCCTCTCCCTCTCCCTCCTCTCCTCCCATGCCCTCCCACCAACCCCCCATTTCCCCTTTCACAATCCCCACTCCCTTCCCCAGGGAAGGTGAGGCCCTCCATGGGGGACCTCTAGAGTCTGTCATTTCATCCAGGGCAGGGCCTAGGCCCTCCCCCAAGAGTCAAGGGTGAGAGAGCATCTTTCATTGTGGGATGGGCACCGAAAGTCCATTTGTATGCCAGGGATAAATACTGATCTATTACCCAAGGCACCATAGATTGCCTAGGCCTCCTCACTGACTCCCACATTCAGGGGGTCTTGATCAGTCCCATGCTGGATTCCCAACCATCAGTCTGGGGTTCAAGAGCTAACCCTTGTCAGGTCAGCTGTTTCTGTGGGTTAAACTAGCCCAGTCTTAACCCCTATCCTCATCAGTCCTCCCTCTCTGTCACTGGGTTCCTTGAGTTCATCTCGGAACTGGAGTTTTTAAGCAAAGAAGTACTAGATTACCACTAAAAGAAAAACAGACAAGTTAGAATAAAAAGAAGAAAAACTAGAATTCTAACAGCATCTAATCTGAAAGTGATCTATCAAAAATTGCTTTAGGAGGGTCCAGTCTACTGTGGGAGGTACCATCTATAGGCAGGTAGGCCTGGGTTATATGGGAAACGTAGCTGGACATTAGCCCAGAAGCAAGTCGATCGATGAGCAGTACTCCCTGGTCTCTGCTCCAGTTCCTGCCTCCAGGCTTCTGCTATGGTTTTCCTCAATGAAAGACTGTAACTAACGTGTAAGCCAAATAAGCACTCTCCTCCCTCACGTTGCTTTACCATCACGATGTTTATCACCCCAACAGGAAGGAAACTGGAACAGGGGCCCCGGCACTTGCTATCTAACTTAGCTGGTCTCAAACTCACAGACCCTCTTATGGTATTACAAGTGCTTAAAAGAAAAATTACCTTAGATTTCCTTAAGGATGGGAACTAATTAGAAAAATTTAAGCACTTTCCCCAAAAAACGTCCTTATACAAATTTGCACCACTTTTTTACAGACAGGCCAAATCATTAGTTAATTTCTGACTACAATAGGTTAACTGACAGACCCTTCAAACTTAAAATTTAATCAAGAAACGTTAACAAACTCAAGAACAATGTGTGTACCAGCACTAACTTTAGTCTGCAGACAGACATCCACTAGCTGAAATAAACACACAAGGAAAAATAAAATCTCCCAAACGAAAACATTGGAAATAGGAGGCTATTTTGCAAGCCACAAAATAGGTTCTAGTCCAAAACTAATTGATAAGAAAGATACATAGCCAAATGCAGCTTAAGACAAATGCAATTAGAAAGAATTTGTTAATCAACTTTAAAGAAACAGCACTGTCAACCTGTCAGACACCTTGCTTTAAATGCGTTTGACACGTCTGGTTCTCCTATAAAATCTTGGCATACTTATCAAATGATTATTATTATTATTTACTAATGTTGCTAAAGCACCTGCCAGATGTGTATCAGAAACCAGAAGTATAAATCTTTGCTGCCTATGGGAAGATACAATTGTATTAACATAAGAATCCTGCTTGGTTATCAACATTGAATTGAATGTGTCTATAGTATCTTCATGGTTTTATCGGGGTAAGTTCAAACACCTCTAATTCTGCATTGTTACTAACTTCCAATAGGAAGGTGACAAATTGTCTCTAAGTATGAAAGCATTCAGGCCAGACTAGAAAGAAACCGTTAGTAAGGGTATCACAGATAACAGAATTCAAACACCTTTCAAAGTTAATGGTTACAGATGCAAACGAATAATTCTTGTAACTAAGAGTGCTAATTTGACATCTTAAAATTCTGGGCGGGGGCTTTTGAGGGTGAGCATTCTGAGAGACATGAACTCGAAACAGGAAAGATCTGGTTGTGGGGCTAAAACCATATTTTCTAAACTTTGTTTTGCACCACAAACGATTCAATATTTTCCAAAGTTTCTGATAAAATGTGCTTATTTCCCCCCCCCCCCCACTGATTTAAAAAATTAGCAAATGTCGTTAGACACATTTGGAATATGATAGGGATTTTTTTTTTCTTTTGCAGAAATGTTGGAAGGCCCGCAGTTTGAAAGCATCCCAAACAGATGGCTCTACTCAGCTACCTCTCCAGTTACCTCTTTATTTCAGAGTACCAAAAAAGACATATTTATGCATCTAGGAATCCTGAAACGGCCAGAAAACACTTGCTGTTGTTACATTAGTCTTAACACGAACTCACTAAAGCTTTCCTTGGAGAAACGTTCAACCTCTCATTAACAGTAAAACCCAAGGACGACGTGGGAAAAAACCCTGCACAGCTCGCAGGAGCTGGGGCGGGTCTTCCAGAGCCAGTGGTCAGAGAGCGGTGCATGACGGGAGCAGGCAACGGGGATTGTGGGAAATGTAGTCTGGCGACGCCGCCCTGCTCGCCATTCCTGTAATGGCTGCTTTCTGGTCAGGTAGGGTGCGAACTCCACTCCCGGGGATTTCCTGTTTGATTTGTAGTTGTAAAACGCTCGCAAATTTGAACCCTCCCAGAACAAATGGACGATTCTCTTCCGGGTCTGTGTGCCAAATGTTGGGGCGAATTTGCTTCTCGGCCCGGTTTCGTTTAGGTTTGCGTGTGTGAGAACTAACTTTGAATTTTGTAGTCTCCCTTGGAGCGAACTGGTAGGAGTGTTTCCTGGGCTCGTGAAGCCCCTCTGGCCTTGCATCCGTTCCTCGGCGACCGTAGCTTCCTCTCTAAAATCATGTTTAAATTCTTTTCCCCGCCCTGCTAGGGGTACCACGGGTAACCTCTTAGCCTCGGGAACCGGAGCTCCAAAGGGGGACTGTTTGCACACTGGATAGAGTTTTACCTCCACCCTTGTTCGGGTAAGTCTTACTAATGCCTGGCAACTCCACAGAGTTGCGTGTTGTGCTGTTTGATTTTTATCAGATTTGTGTACGTTTTCTAGATAGGACACATGCTTAAAAAAAGTGTTTTTTTTTTCCACACTTGTCAGTGTAATTGACAAGTGTCATGTGCATCATTTTCTCTCTTTCCTTAATGATGTACAGCTGTCCAGTTTCAGGTTGGCCGATGTCGATCCTGCCCGAATCACTGTTGGGATTGCTGGACCTAGGGTGTTGTCGTGAGATTAACCTAAAATGACTGTCTTTAAGAGCATACACCTTTTTAGTCGTTGTCATGTGTGTAAAGTGGCAAACTCTGAAATGATTCACAAACTCCAATGTGAAAAGATGGCTGTATATTTGTGTATTGTCGTTCCAAAAAGTAAGGTCTTTTAACAGTTTTCTTTCGTCTCCGTGTTTAATTTCTAGGGAAGTGCAGGCCTCGAGAGCCCAACATGATGAATTCAGTTCCAACACAGTTGATCTTAGTCCTTACCTCGATGCTTCTGCTGGTGGTGCCTGGTGTTGAAGCAGTAGAAGCTGGAGATGCAATTGCGCTCTTATTAGGTGTGGTTCTCAGCATCACGGGCATTTGTGCTTGCTTGGGGATATACGCAAGAAAGCGAAACGGACAGATTTGACTCTGAAGGACTGCAGAACTAGACTTCACCCTGACCACACTGAAAACCATTGTGCTATTGAGGCCAGACCCAAGGTTTGATCTCTCCTGTTCCCAGCAAGAAGAGGATGGTTTCACACTCTTAGGGGTTTCTCATAAGATGGGAGTAGAGGGGGTGGGGTGAGAGTGGGGGCTCTTTACAACAAAGAGTGCATTAATAACATGGCCTGTAATTTGTAATTGCTGCTTAGGAAGGGGGTCAAAGAGGGCTTACATTTGCCTAAGTATTATTTCGTACTTTCTAAATTGTTAAAGCTTGTGGAATTGGAAGAAGGAAGTATTTGCTAAGAATCCAGTAAATCAACATTGTTGCTGTATGAATCACTGCCTCTTGAATTCTGGGGGAATCTTTTTTTCCATGTTTTTTGTTGGTGTTCTGTTTTGTCTCCCTAGTTGATAATTGTACTTAGATATAGCCAAAAACTGAAACTTGTGTGTCTGAAAAAAAGTTTAACTAATGTGTACTCAACATATCTAATACTAAAATGGAGGAAATATTTGTTTAAAAAAACAACTTTATATTAATGGAGTATCATCTCCTTTGTGAGAAGTACTGTATCAAATACATGTCCATTATGCCATGAACTAATCTGTTTATGTTGGTCTGCTTGTATTTACGTGTGGACTAGTTATTTTAGAAGATAGAGAGAGCCTGGTTAACTTACCTTAACAGATCACTGTGGGTGAGAAATGGGCGTCTGAGATAAGAAAGGCCTCTTACAGGAAATCTACAAATACAAAAGGAAATGTATTGACCTGCATTGGTTTATACACCAGCCAAATGGACATACCTTCTTTGCCCTAGCAGTTTTAAAAGTCTCCAAAGCCAACAAATTACGGAGGATTTAAATACACATTGTTGGACCCTGAACAAATATTTGGGCTAAAATATGTATTTTGAATGTTATTATAGGTTCAAGAAAACCTGCTCAAACCTGTTAGAACTCAGGAATCACTTGAGCTCCTTATGTTTCCAACAAAATGTGAGTTCCTAAGTCTGTCTCTGTTGCATAAGCAATTCAGGCCTTTATTGGATTCGTAAGATTCAGTGGGGATGCAGTAGTCTCAGGAGACAAACTAGTCAGTGCAAACAAATAATCAAGTTGTTCCCAAAATGCATTGTCTAATCTCCAAATAACCTTAAGAGCCTTGACTTCTGTCAGCAAACAGGCTGTAGCAAATACAGAATCCTGTCCGCAAGTGAACAGATGTGGCTTTTCTAAGAGTTTTAGTTACCAGTAAAAGGCAGTGAGGAGTGCTTACATGACAGAGATGCGGAAGCCAGAGAGGTGTACTGTTTTGTAATGCGTTTTATTTTTCGCCAGGGAAGACTGGCAGTTACTAAAAACATGTTTGAGCGCATTCAGGAGAAAGGAATGCTACCAGGGCCAGGGCAATGGTCATCTTTGTTCACTGGCTTGTTGGAGCTGATTTAGAGAGCCTGCTCTCTTCCCTGCAGGTCTCAGCTTTTCCACTGGATGGGAAAAGGCTAATGTAAAGCAGATTTTAAGTCTCCGTCGTTTAGTTACCTCCGGGTACTATTTTTAGCATTTTCAAAAAGTAAGACTACAGGAAAACTGTCATTACTGACAGTGTGTTTCCAAAAGTACTCCAACGAATGTTTGCAAAACCTGACTACCTTTTCCTGTTTTATCCTTAAAAGCCGAGGCGTGTTGTGTGTGTGTGTGTGTGTGTGTGTGTGTGTGTGTGTGTGTGTGTGTGTGTGTGTGTGCTGGGGGCAGGGGAAGGGTGGCTAAAAATAGCTTCTCTGGGCCAAGGAGATGACTCAGTAGGTAAAGGTGCTAGCATTTACTGATGACCCTAGCTGGGTGCTCAGTATCCACATAGTGGAAGGAGAGAACCAACTCCCACAAGTGACAACATTGTCTCCATGATACATGGGCCCACTCCCAACTTCCGATATATCACTAAATAATTATTGTTTAATATAATAATTAAAATAAAAACGACTTCATTGTCTAAAGACAGAAACCAGGGCTGGGAAGACGGCTACGTTGCGAACGGTGATTGCTGTCCAAGCATGAAGACTTAACACCCGCATAAGAACCTGGTGCAGCCTTACTGCCGAAAATCCCCACCCCAGGTGTAGAGATGGGTGCATCCCTGGGGCCTGCTGGGTAGCCAGCCTCTTTAGCCAATTCATTGAGTTCTAGGTTCAGTGAGAGGTCCAGACTCCAAAAAGAGGAAGTGAAGGAAACCCAGTGCTCTGCCCCCTGTTTGTACACATATGCATACCACACAGGAAGTAACTAAGAAAGCCCTGTGATGGGTCTTACACATCAGCTCCTTCGAGAGTCTGATGAATGCTTTTGATGTTTCTTTCCTAAGTCGTTTCTATACACACTAACATTTTCAGATTAGTTTCACAAATTTTTCAGAGATAAAGCCCATCTAGGAATGGACAATTACAATTTTCTGGTTTGTTTGTTCTCAAATTCAGATTCTTTCCAGTTGTACAAGTCATCACATTGCTTGGAGAGAGCATAGCTGTTAGGCCACAGTCAGGAGAGTAGGATTGACCGATGTCCCTCGGGTGCTTGGCACAATGTTTTATGTCGAATAAATGGTCTGCTAGTTTAGATGGGCTGAATTCAGTTAAAAAGCAGAAGCAATAAATAAAGAAGTTAAAGTCCTTGACAATATATTTTTGTTTCTCTCTCACTGCTTTCGCAATTTTCTTATTTTTCAGAGTGTAGGATACTGGGGATCTTCAGTTTATTCTAGATGGGGCTTTCTGGGCTCTTAAGTTTGAAAGTTTCAAGTTTGTTTGTTTTTTTTTTCCCAGATTTAAGAAAATTTCCTCCATTATTTCTTCAGCCTGACCATTTCTCCTTTTACTTTAGGACTCCATTGACCCAGTGGTAGATGGTTTGTTGTAGAACTAGCAATTTATTAGCTTTTTGCCTGTTATTCAGATTGTATAATTTCTAGTGATGTAGTCTCAGATTCAGTAATCCTGCAATTGTATTTTTTCAGTTCAAAATTTTCATTGCTTTTTCTTTGTATCTTTTATTCCACTGCTAAAAGGTTCTACTTTTTCATTCATTTCAAGCTTGTCTTTGAGTGCTCGTTGAAGCATCTTCCTAGTGACTGCACCAGTGTCCATGTTATACAATGCTAACACTTTTGTCATTTGAGTGATAAGCATTCAGCGTGCTCAATGGTAGCATGACAAATGCTTAGCAGTAACCGCTTAGACTCCTTAAGATGGCACATGGAGTTTTGTTTTGCCCGTTCAGAAAAAGAACAAATCTGGTCCATGGTCCACCAGGAAAAATACTTGCTTCTCAATTCACTGAAGCCATAAAGTTATAAGCAAACTTTGACTGGAGAGAAGGCTCAGAGGTTAAGAGCACTTGCTGCTCTTCAGAGGACCTAGGTTCGATTCTGTCACCCACAGCGTGACTCACAGCCATCTAGAACTCTAGTTCTAGGGGACCCAGTGCCATCTTCCAGCTTCTAAGGTACTGTGAGGTGCACAGACATGTGCATGCAAAATACTTATACATATAAAATAAAATTTTTAAATATATAAGGAAACTAAAAGTTACTGTGTTTCCCATGATACCCATGATAGTAGAAAAGAAGCTCCTAGTTTAATTACCTAGCCCTAAACATGATCTTCATACTTAGATGATAACAGAATCAAACCTATAAAAATCTGCAGGATAGCATATTTAGGTTTTCAAATTTTAATAAATAAATACTTTCTGCAAAAAAAGTATAATTGATATAAAAATGTGCTGCAAAACATGTTTTCTCACTGCCAAGTACCAGCTGCAATACTTATTTTTCTGCTGGATATTATTTATGAATGATTGAATTGAAAATATTAGTTGAGTCTTCATAGTCTGAAATAATATGAAATGTTATGAACAAGAAGGTTAACTATTTGCAAAGGGCTAATCATGAAGCACTTTGTTAAACACTGGGATTATAAATACCCTATTTCACAATATTAGTCAAGACAATTATGCTCTAATTAAATGTTCATAAATCACTTAAAAGAATTTAGAATGCATGTTCACCAAGAATGAAAACCCTATCATATTTTATTTCAGAGCATTGACACCAATGTAAAACAATTTTGTGAGTCTTATATGTTACACACTTGTTTCCACATGTTTCTGAAAGCACTTTGGCAGGCAGTACCTTTTTGTTTGTTTGCTTGATTTTGTTTGGTTTTTGCCTACATAATGTCAGAAGTCTCTTCAAGGCTTCCTTATGATAGGATTTTGTTGCTTTCATGATGTTATTTTCCTTACTCCTCAAAACAGTATTACTAATGTGTTGACAGTATTGCAGTTACAGTTTTAATCAAAAGCAATGAGGAGTTAATTCTGTCTTTCAACTCCTCACTAATAATGGCAGTTTAGTCCTTTGGTACATTTTGAATCCAGTTCAGTGGTGTGTGGGCAGTTTATTTTCTGATCTGAATGAAAATGACTAGGGATTTTCTCAAGAAAGAAGAATGAAAAGAAAGCATTGCCAGGCCACTCCCACTCAAAGCCAGTAGTCCACAGGGTGACTAACTACGATAGGCCTAGCAGTGTTCAGGAATTAGGGATCATGCAGTTGTAATCTCACACACTGCCACTGGGAAGGTATGTTAATTAAAATTAAGTCTTCCCAGTGGCTAAGACAGCTGATGGGCTGTGAGACACCTCAATCCAAACTGGATCCATCTCTAAATCCTATTCAAATTTTCCACAGTATCCACCAATTTCTATCACCATGGTTCTACCAAGTTCAGTTCTGAGCATTGTGCTGATGTAGTTAAGAACAACATCAGCAATACCTCTTACCTTATCTTCTGATGTCCCATCTTATTCCTCTGCAGTGTTTTCCAAGCCCAACTGTAAAGAACTTTTAAGAAATGCAGTTCCTGTTTTGGAGAGAGGAAGATCATTGGGAGTGAAAAGAAGGCAATAGAGAATAATGGGAGTGTGTTTACTGCTCTAGTTTGTACTGTGAACCTGGGAAAATGGAGTCTAAAAATTAAGGCAGACGAAAGTCTTAAAAGTGGTCAGTTTTATTCAGAGCATCAGACAATTCATACTCCGAGGATGAAGAAGTGTCACGTAAGTCAAGTGTATAATCACAAAGGCAAGCCACACATGACAAAAGCGTGTTTTTCCAGTGGGACATAGAAACAAATAACAATAGCAAGTTGAATGAAAAATCTAAAGCAAACTCCTGTCCTCTACACCCAGGAGTGGCACACAAAGCACATTCCAAATACAATTCTGTTTTTGAAAATAACTGAGGTCACAAGATTCTTGTTTTCTTAGAGTTTTTTTAGAAAGTACTCAGAATTCCCCTTGCATGACTCCATTCTTGGACTGTATTCTTACAAAGGCGTGTGAAAACGATCAAGGTATAGTCCCAAGAAAGCCCATTATGTAGAATTAATATAAAATTTTTTTGAAGAACAGAATCTTACCTGTAGCCAGCTAGCCTTGACCTCTTGGTCTTAAGCCTTGCTTCTACTTAGCCCATAGAGAGTAGTGTCCACAGGAACACTCCACCTGGCGGTAGTGAACAACCACAACCACAAATGTGAT